CGACGAGGACGACGAACAATTGCGGATCCATCTTTTTGCCTGTCTCCGCAACTGCGGCCGCGCTAACGCCACGAGTGCTTCAACGGAGGTGATGCGCGCCCGAAGCGCCTAATTGCAGCGGCCAGTCGTGGGAGCGCAGCAACTGCCGCCAAGATGTATGAAGTCGCTAGAAGGCAGCGCCGCAACTGCGGCCGAAAGCGCGCATAGTGAGTCAAACGAGCGCGGCGTCACGCGATCGGTCCCCGCAACTGCGGTTCCACGGCTGCGCCCACTGCGGTTGAATTCCGCAACTGCGGTGTCAAGGCTGCGCGGACCACCGCGGTTGCAGGTGCGACCCCTTGTTCGCATCGAACCGCCCAGGATTCGCATGGGCGTGCAGCATCTTCCAGAACTTGAACGTTCCGTGGCCATCGCTCTTGCCAAGACCTGCCGTCGGGCCGCGCACGGGGTGCCAGTGCGGCCCCGCCTCATACGTGTTGAACTTCGGGCTAGACCAGGATGGGTGGACGCGAATGCCCGAGCCGTCGTCGCGGATGAGGGCGAAATCCCACTGGGGCAGAGAGATTGTTTGCGCCTGTCCTCTGTCCACCCCTTTCGCGTGCCTCATGTTGCCGAGACTGTTAGGGGACGGGCTGCGCTCGCAGCGGACCAACCCGCGACTGCGGTCATTGTCAGGGCCGCGCACGACGCGCAACATTGTAGGTCCATCCATCTGCGCGACCATCTCCAGCCAAGACCACGGCACTTTGACAGTGTGGTCCCAGTCCCAATCCCTGTTGTCCTGCGCCTTCCCCTTTGCGCGGTACTTAAGGATCTTCGAAATTTCCTCCGCAATTGCGGTGCCTCCGAAGACGGGCGTGCGGCTGCCGAAAGGGTTTTCTCGGTCTTCGAACTCGTCTCGGAAAAACTTCAAGGCCGCGTTGCGCTGCTTATAATTCCCAGACCAGTCCGCCCTGAAGTTCTCGAAGAAGTCCAACCTGAAAATAGGCCCTGGCTCCTGGCCCACAGTTTGAGAAAGCGCAACTGCGCCTTGCCCTTCGCGTTCTGGGGGAAGTAGGGGACGGCCTCCTTTGCCCGCCGCTGTTGCGGCCGCGGGCTCCGCGGCAGGAGAACCATCCCAAGCACTCGAGCGGCCCCTTTCCCATGCGTTCCAGCAGCCACCCTCGTCGCCCCACCAGCGGGCGCCCTCCATTCCCGAACCCTCCCATCGGTTGCCGCCGCATCCGCCGCCGCGCTCCCATCCGCCGCCCTCCCATCCGCGACTGCGGTCACTTCCGTCGCCGCCCTCCTGCGCTTTTCCTCCCCATCCGCCAAGAGAAGCTCCGCCGCCCCAGCCGCCACTGCGGTCACCTCCGCCACCGTATCCGCCACTGCGGCCGCCCCAATCCTCACTTGTTCCCCAACCGCCACCGCTGCTCTGTGAAGAATCCGCAACTGCGGCCCGTGTTTCCTCTTCCGTTTTGTCATCCCACCTTGCACGCATCTCTGCCCCGACTGCACGCCGCGGAGGCGGGCGCGAGCCCGCCCAACCGCCGTGGAACCTGCCGTCGGCGCGGGCTTGAGCCGAACATGCATGGAGGAGGATGATGAGGAGGAGGGGGGTGAAGGTGAGGAGGAGTATGCGTTCCTGGGAGGTGTGTCTTCGCGTGCCAAACAAGAGCCCTGAGAAATCCTGAGGCTCCTTCAAGAGCCAAGGACGCGGATGACAAGAAAGTCGAGAAGATTGGGAACCGATTGAGGATTAAGAGGCGTGCGAAGGAGGACGAAAGGGATGATGACGACGAAGAGGAGGATCAGTGAAGGGGAGGAGCGGACAGGAATTATAGAGGAGTGATAGCAGAGGAGGATGAGGGGGAAGGGGGAGGAGGAGGCGGAGGAGGAGGAGGAGGAGGGAGAGGAAAAGGGGGAGGAGGAGGAGGAGGAAGGAGGGGAGGAGGAGGAGGAGGAAGAGGAGGAGGAGGAGGACGAGGAGGAGTAGAAGGAGGAGAGGGAGAAGGGGGAGGGGGATAATTAGGAGGACGAGGACGGAGAAATAGGACAAATGAGGAGGAGGAGGAGGCGGAGGAGGAGGAGGACGAGGAGGAAACGCAGGAAGAGGAGGAGGAGAGGGGGGAGGAAGAGTGCGCATGAGACGGAGAGAACGAGGTAGAGAGGGAACGGGGGAGGAGGGAGGACAAGGAAGAGGATACAGCGACGAGAAGAGGAGAAGGAACAGGCGAAGGCTCCTGCTGATCGCATTTCCGCATCGTTCAAAGCAGTGCCGGGGCACTGCTTTGAACGACTGGCGTTGTTCAAAGCAGTTCCCCGGCACTGTGGTCGTCGACGCCATTATAAAGGCTTTCGGATTATATGATGGTGTTGATGATGCAGATGAGGATGGTGATGATGATGATGCTGATGCTGATGGTGATGATGATGATGACGGTGATGATGATGATCATGATCATGATCATGATGATGATGATGATGATGATGATGATGATGATGATGATGATGATGCTGATGAGCAAGGCTCCGCCGTCCAGGGGCTGCTGACTAGGCCCGCAATGGCATGGAACATATACCTAATTCCATCATTATTTTCCTGCGTTGTCTCCCTCGCCGTGGGTGTCAGCGCTACGCCTGAACTTGCGCAAATGTTCAACTCCACCTGGTACCCTTTTTGGACGTTCGGGGTGAGCGCCACGTTTGAATTTGCGCGGGTAGTGAAGTCCACTTGGTACCCCTTGTGGGCGTTCGGGGAGAGCGCTTGCGCGAGGTGTGGTTTTGATGGTGGTGCACGTTCTTGCAAAGCTCCTCAATTTTACGCGCTTCCCGTTCACGTCAGGAGAGGTTTCTGAAAAAATGCTGTGTCGCTCGAGACATCCTCAAAACATCGGCCCCGGAGGGGACTCCGAATCGACGTCGTCTTAGAATCGCTCCCGGATGGCTTTCGAACGGCCCAACGGAGGCCCAAAAGGCGCCCCAGAGGGCCCCAAGAGCGCCCAGCTGCGCCCCAGGAGAGCCCCAATAGACCTCCAAGGGCGCTCCAGGAGGCACCCAGACAGCTCGCAAGAACCCCAATACGGGCCAAGAGGGCCCCAAGAGACTCCCAGGAGCGCCCCAGGAGGCCCCCAAACGGCCCAAGAAAACCCCAAGACGGCCCAAGATGGCGCCGAGACGGCCCAAGAAAGCTCCCAGAGAAACCCACGACGCGCCCAGACAACCCAAAAAGACCCCAGAAGCCCACAAGAGGACCCAAGAGCCCCCAATGAACCCCCAACAGGCCCCAGAACAACCCCGCGCGGTGCCAGGAGCCCCCAGGGTAGGCTAATAGGATCACCAGGACCCTCTCCTGATTTGGCGTGCTTCTCCAATTGCCTCTTACTGTCCTCCATCCTCGTCGTCATCGTCCTCCGCATTCCTCCTCGTACTCGCCCTCGTTCTCATCGTCCTCGTCCTTGTGCTTCTCTTACTCGTTGTCCTCGTGCTCCTCCTCGCTATCCTCACATTCTCCACGTCGTCCTCGTCATCGCGTCCTCGTCGCCCTCGCCTTCCTTATTTTCTTCGCCCAATATAAGCCCATTGGGCAACAGCGGCGCTTCCCGTTCTTGTCCGGTCAGGTTATAGTAGTAGTGTTAGTAGTAGTAAGAGTAGTAGTCGTAATAGTAGTAGTAGTAGTAGTAGTAGTAGTAGTAGTAGTAGTAGTAGTAGTAGTAGTAGTAGTAGTAGTAGTAGTAGTAGTAGTAGTAGTAGTGGTAGTGGTAGTGGTAGTAGTAGTAGTAGTAGTAGTAGTAGTAGTAGTAGTAGTAGTAAGGAGAAGAAGAAGAAGAAGTAAAGTAGTAGTAGTAGTAGTAGTAGTAGTAGTAGTAGTAGTAGTAGTAGTAGTAGTAGTAGTAGTAGTAGCAGTAGTAGTAGTAGTAGTAGTAGTAGTAGTCGTCGTAGTAGTAGTAGTAGTAGTAGTAGTAGTAGTAGTAGTAGTAGTAGTAGTAGTAGTAGTAGTAGTAGTAGTAGTAGTAGTAGTAGTAGTACTAGTAGCAGTAGGAGTAGGAGTAGTCGCAGTACCGGTATTTGTTCGCATTGTCTCAGCGTTAGCAATGTTATGTTGATTGCTGTCGTCGTCGTCGCCCTCGTAGTAGTGAGAGTAGTAATTTGTAGTGGTAGCAGTAGCAGTAGTGGCCGTAGTAGTCGTAGTAGTAGTAGTAGTAGTAGTTGTTGTAGTAGTAGTAGTCGTAGTCGTCGTAGTAGTAGTAGTAGTAGTAGTAGTAGTAGTAGTAGTAGTAGTAGTAGTAGTAGTAGTAGTAGTAGTAGTTAGTAGTGGTCGTAGTCGTAGTCGTAGTAGTAGTAGTATAGTAGTTGTAGTAGTAGTCGTAGTAGTAGTCGTAGTAGTAGTAGTAGTAGTAGTAGTAGTAGTAGTAGTAGTAGTAGTACGAGTACTAGTAGTCGTAGTAGTAGTCGTAGTAGTAGTCGTAGTAGTAGTAATCGTAGTTGTATTAGTAGTAGTAGTAGTAGTAGTAGTAGTAGTAGTAGTTGTAGTAGTCGTCGTCGTCGTAGTAGTAGTAGTAGTAATAGTAGTAGTAGTAGTAGTAGTAGTAGTAGTAGTAGTAGTACTAGTAGTAGTAGTAGTAGCAGTAGTAGTAGTAGCAGCAGTAGTAGTAGTAGTAGGAGTAGGAGTAGTAGGAGTAGTCGCAGTACCGGTATTAGTTCGCATCGCCTTAGCGTTCGCAATATTATGTTGATTGCTGTCGCTACTAATTGTTCCATTTTTATTGTTAATATTTGGTGGATCCCCTCTTCCTCCTCCTCTTCCGCCTCCTCCTTCTCCTCTTCCTTCTCCTCCTTTTCCTCTTTCACCTGCACCACGACTGATGTGGATGTTATCCCGTAATCCTCCTCCTCCTCCTCCTCCTCTTCATCCTCATCCCCATCCTAATCCTCCTCCTCTTCCTCCCCCTCCTCCTCCAAGTTCCTGGATCCTTCTGGGCGATCCCTCCTCGACTCGCCGGCCCAGAGACGCCCAGGTTCTTCAGCGGTACGTGCAGGAATCACAGACACTTCAGGCCCAGCGCTTGGAGGATTTCGTGGAGCAGGCCGCTTTGCAGCGGGCTGCCTATCTTTGTCTCTCTCTCTCTCTCTCTCTCTCTCTCTTTCTCTCTTTCTCTCTCTCCCTCCTCTCTCTCTCTCTCTCCCTCTCTCTCTCTCTGTCTCTCGCTTTTTTTTATATATATAATATATATATATATATATATATATATATATATATATGTATTTCTCTCTCTCTCTCTCTCTCTTTCTCTCTTTCTGTATGTGTGTGTGTGTGTCCATACGTGTCTGTGTGTGGGCGCATCAACGCGCATATAAGATGGATGTGTACCGATCCCGATGCACATACCCCTCCCCCATCAAATGTTTCATTCATTCATCTGGATCTCTCTCTCTCTCTCTCTCTCCTTCTCCCTCTCGCGTGCCCGCGTCTCTCTCTCTCTCGCTCTATTCCTCTGTCTCTCTCTCTCTCTCTTTCTTTCTTTCTTTCTCTCTCGGTCTCGGCCTGAGTTCCAGCAGGAGCAGAGCGTGGCCAGGACACAAAACCTTCAGCGCCTTCCAGCCCGGTGAGACCAGCCGAGTGAGACCGTAACCGGGCCTTTCATCCCGGGACCGATTCGTGTCACCCCGTCCTTCACCCTCCGCCGCAATGGCCTGCGGCGCTGCCCCAGTGTTCGCACCGCGCGTGGTGACCCCGTCACGGCCCACTTCCTTAGCTGCGAGACGGGCAAGACTCCGGAGGGAGGCAACCAGCTTTGATGCGGTACGGCCACTTCCACGACAGCCACGTCCTGAGCAACAAATGCAGTTTGTTCATCACGATGGTTACGTATTTTGCGTTCCCATCTTGGATGAGCATGTCCTTCCTGCCCCACCTCACGTCCCTCCCACTCGTTGGGGCGCTCTTCAAACCCTCCGAGACGGCGCACAGCGTTTCCAGGGTGACCTGCACGCGCTACGCGATCATATTTATCCGCTGAGCCGCCGCGCCGCTACAGCGGCCAGCCGGACCCCGAATATCAACAGCAGCAACCCGTTGCACTTGATCTTGCGCGTCCCGCCGCTCTTCTACAGCACCCACGGCAGTGTCAAGACGGCCGCCTTCGGTACCCGCGAAGGCATCGGCGCGCGCTTCGCCATGATCCCCGCGATCCTCGGCGGCCTGTTCTGCTCCGTCGGCGCGGCGTCGCCCTCCGCGGTCTTCTGGGTCCCGGGCCCCGTCTCTTGGGTTCCAGGGCTTCCCTTTGGCCGCCGCGCCATTTCGGTGGCCGGCCGGACCCCCCGCTCGTCGGCGGCAACCCCCCGCGCATCGGGAGCGCCTTCGGCTTCGTAGGCGCGGCGGGCCTTGCCCTGCCGAAACAGGCCGCGCTCGTCCAGCACGCGGCTTTCACGCAGTACGTCGCGCTCTTCTTCAACGGCGCGACCCCGCCCGCGACGGCAGGCCCGCGATCGCAGTCCAGGGCACGCGCGCTCACGGGACACGGCCCGCACGCTGCCCACCCGCCGTGCGCTCGCAGGCCATGGCATGGGGTCAGCGCGCACCGCCTTCGACGACGCCCCACCGACCGCGATCCACAAGCTCGCTGCGCGCGCCGCCCGGGCCGCGACCCCGCCGTTGCCCGCGCCCGCGACGCAAACCGCCGCTCGGCCACCTGGGCCCCGCCCCCCGCTGCAGACGCGAAGCGCGCGCGCCAAGACGCGCCGACCACCGCCCTAGGGGGCCCCTAGGACGACCCTGTCCCCGCGACCCCTGCCAACCCGAACCTCGGGGTTCAAGTCGGCGCAGAGGTCGCTCTTCAGGGCCCGGAGAGCAACCCAATCAACGGTCTCCGCGGCGTCGCCCTTGGACGCTCCGGCCGCTCCGGCGACGCCGACCAACGCTGAGTCCTCGCGCGTGCCAGCGGGCGCGCCGTCCACTTGCCCGCCGCCAGTCTGATCGTCGCCGCCCCGGCGCCGAGCCCCGAGGTTCCGCCCCTTTGGCGCGCGCGCCCCCCCCGAGGCACCCGCTGAGGGGCCCCCTCTCACCCCCGCGCGCGGCGCGGCAGAGGAGGCGAGTAGACGAGGGGGGAGGTGGGGGCGACAATTTCTACCACCGCCGGGACCGCACTAACTATGCGCCCTGTGGCCACGTCGCTGGCGCACCGATCACTAGCGCGCCCAGCTGATGGGGCCGCAGGCGACCGCGCCTCCGAATGCCAATCGGGCGCCGAGTTGAACAGAGCGCGCGCAGAACGCACAGCTTCCTTTGCAAAGCACATTCGCAACATCTGGCACCAACTCGTCGCCACCCTCAGTGCCATCGCCGTCGGAGTCACTGGCGGCCTTCGCACTGCCGCGCATCGCGTCGTCCACGCGCGCGCCAACTGCACCGCGTGCCTCCAGCGGACCCGGCCCCAAATCACGTTCGCAACATCTGGCTCCAACTCGCCGCCGCCCTCAGCGCCATTGCCGTCAGAGTCGCTGGCGGCCTTCGCACCGCCGCGCGTCGCGTCGTCCACGCGCGCGCCAACTGCTCCGCATGCCTCCAGCGGACCCGGCCCTGGACGCGGCCAGGCGGGCGGCGCTCGCGGGCTGGGGGCGGCGCCGCTGAGCGCCGCGCGGGCGCCGCGCCCCAGCGCCGCCCCCCCCCCCCCCCCCCCCCCCGCGCTCTCGCACCTCCCCCCCCCCCAGGCCGCCCTCTGACCCCAGTCGGCGGCAGAGGAGGAGGCAGGAGCTGGGGGACTTTGACAGCGACGACGACAGGCGGATGCGCGGCTCCCAGGCGGCCCCGGCCGACCCAGCCGCCGCTGGGCTGACCCCCAGGCGCCGCCGCCCCCGCCGGCGCCAGGCCACCAGCCCCCCCGAGATTCTCGATAGCAAGCGACGGCCCTGCCGAACCTCGCCGGGTCTTCGCGCGCGCCTCTCCCGCACTCCGCGCTCTGGCTGTGCACTTGGTTCATTCCCTGTCTTGCCTCGCCCCCTGGCTCGACTTGCGCCTCGGGGCCGACCTGCGCGCGACAGCCCATCGACGCGTCGAGCTCCGATCGCACGGTCCGCGGCCCCCCGCTCGCAGCGCCCGCGCATCGCCCGCAGCTCGTTCGCCCTCGCCTCCTGCCTGGGCGAGGCCCTCGGCCCGCTGCGCGGCGAGGTGACGGCCCTGGTCAAGCGCGCCTTCTCCGCGCGTCATCGCACCGACTCTCGCTTCCCAATGCGGTTCCTAACCTGGTCGGACGCATTCGAGGCGCGACGGGGCTAATCCAGAAGCCGCATTAAAGTGATCATTCCCCCCCTCTGTGACAGAGGGGGCGTTTTTCGGAGGCCCTCTGCGACAGAGGGGGCGCGTTCGGAGGCCCTCTGTGACAGAGGGGGTGCGTTCGGAGGCTCTCTGCGACAGAGTTGCTCGTCATCCCGTTCCTCGTCATCCTGCTTCTTGATTTCGGATATGTCATGCTACCACTGCGCTCATCATCTTTGCGTCTGTGATCCTCGTCGTGTTTTTCCATGCGTCCTTTTCACAATTTCCACCACATTATCCTCCGTTGCCGTTCTGGCCCGCCATCTACCTCGTCACTCTCCTTCGTCTGCATGTCCTTATTATCTTCCGCTCTTTTTTCGCCCCCCCCTCTGGTTCGATTTCCGCTCTTCGTCCACTTCGTTCATCCGTTTCCAACCCCCCTTCCTTTCAAGTTCTCCGCCGTCCAATCACATCGCGTCGTCCGTCGCCGCTATGCTCAAACCATCCCGCGCCCGTGGGATCGCCCGCGAGCACCGGTGCAGCTGGGCCCGTCGCGGCCTAACGCGCGCCTGCGCCATCGTCTTGCAATGGGCGATGCAGGCGGATACACATGGGGTGGCGCGGGAGGATGGTGGGATAGCCGCAGCAGCGGCTGGCGTGGCTGGGAGGACGGCCATGATTGGTCAGCGAGGGGTTGGAGAGACTGGCGACAAGACGGGCACACGCCAACGGAGGACGCCAAATGGCGCGATGGCCCTGCCGCCGCAGCAGCGGCGGCGGTCTCGCCTCAACGGCCGTCTCGCTTCGCCGCGCTTAGCGTTGTGAGCCCCCGCGCCCCTGGTCTCGGCATGCCCGAATTCGATAATTTCGCGAGGGCTGCCCTCCGAAACTCACCAGAACCTGGGAACACAGTTTCAGGAGAGGGGTCGGGATCCCGAGCCGCGCCTGCGGCGCAGGAGCCCCGCGCCACCGCAGCGGCGGCGGCGCGCGGGCCCCAGGATTTTGAGAAGTTTGATGTTAATTATTTTTTGAGTTATGAAGAGAGGCTTGGCACTTCGTTTAAGCAACACAATCAAGCGTTGAAATGGCGGCGCCATCTGAATGAAGACCCAACTGCCCCGTTCGAGTCAGAAGCCAAGTGGTTTGACAATGCGGAGCCCACCATGGTCGCTGTTTGCGACCACGGTGCGAGGACGAGCTTTGGTTTCAAAAGCGACGAGGAAGTCCCTTGGCGGTGGCAAGAGATGGTGGCGACGCTCAGGGAGGAAGATATCAGGGAGGTCGTGGGGGGGCCCCGCAGCAGCGGGGCTCTGATCGGCTGTTCCCTCGAAGTCCGGCCAAACAGCTACGACCGCATGCGTCAGAGTATTGTGCGCGCGCGACAGTTCGCGGGGCAGCGGGTGAAAGTGAAGCTGCCGATGTGGGATTTCGTGTTGCACCGCGACGACGGGACAGGCGTCCGCTTACACCCGCACTGGGGCGACAGGAAGGTCGAAGCTCTGCCCCTCGCCCCCCGCGCGGACACGGTGAGGCCACCAGCCGCGGGTTTGGGCGGGAGCGACGGGTCAGGAACTTTTCGCTGGCACAAGGACCTCGGTGTGGAGCGCAAGGTCAAGTTCGACGCCGCCAGAGAGAAGGGGAGGCCGACGCCTTCTCAGGGGCCCCGCAGCAGCGGGGCCGCGGCGTCCAGCACCAGGCCCTCGGCGTCCGCAGCAGCGGCTGGCAAACCAGTAGTTTTGGGGCCGAATAACTCCCCAGACGATTTGGTTGCGGAGTAGATGGCTCCGCAGCAGCAGCGGGGCTCGAACGAAGGGCGCGTCGCATTTCGGCAGG